AACACAACAAACCTTTTTAACCACCTCAAGAGAAATTCAATTCAATTTAGCTTTATTTGTATAGCGCTTTTACAATGTAGATTGTGTTAAAGCAGCTTCACATAAATGGTCATAGTAACTGGAACAGTGTGGTTCAGGTTTTAGTGTTTAAGTTCAGTTCAGTTCAGTTTAGCTCAGTTCAGTGTGATTTAATCATTACTGAGAGTTCAAACACTGAAGAGCAAATTCATAGATGCGAAAGCACGCGAAAGAATATGCTGAGAGTCAAATTTTAAAAGGACCCCATGTGAGTACATCACCAGGTACAACCAAGCAGCCAGAAACGACAAGGCTTAAACAAACAACTCTAATGAAAGAAACATATCACAAAGGAACTCCGTATGAGAGAACGAGCAAGCGCTGGAAAGACGTTACTGATGCCGGGACATTTTACCTGACCAAAGACATGATTCCTATAAAGACTGTGGTAAATGAGGGCTTTAAAAGATTGTTCAAAGTCGTAGATCCACGTTACAAAATACCCAGCCACAAATATTTTTCCTCCACTGTCATTCCACAGCTTTATTCAGAGTGCCGCAGCAAGATTCAAAATAAAATTCAAAACGTAAAGTTTTTCACTACAACGGCTGATTAATGGTCTAGCCGTACGTCAGAGCCGTATTTAAGTCTGACGATTCACTTTATTCATGAGTGGAAATTGTGCAGTGCGTGTCTAGAAACAACATATTTTCCACAAGACCACACAGGCGAGGTCATAGCGCAAGGTCTTAGGGACGCGCTTGAATGTTGGGGACTGAAAGAAGCAAACATGACCTGTATGACGACAGATAGTGGGGCCAACATGGTGAAGGCATTGGAGCTCAACAGCTGGACTCGTCTGCAGTGTTTTGGGCACAGACTCCACCTAGCCATCGGTAAGTACAACTAAAAATAATAATGATCTCCTATATTCAAGTGATTATATTCAGCTATTATAATAAATCATTGCAAATTACATTAGGAACTTTGAACATAGTAAAATCATGAGATTAGTTTGCTGTAATTGCACTGGTCAGGGGCGCCCCCAAGGGGCGGCCAGGGGTTGCTTTGTGTAAACTCTGGTCACCCCAATATGATTTTGCTTTTGAAATTATTAATTTAAATTTAGTTATGTAAATTCACAGTATTACAATATATAAGTACATCAATAAAATGCAGCCACCAAAATGACTTAATTCATTAATCTTCATTCATTTTAGAATTTCATTCATTTTGCTGCTTTACAATAAAAGTATGTGAAAAATAATTGGCCTGGATAGTGTTTTAAAACTAAATATTGATTTTTAGTAGGTTTGCACATATACTTGCTGAATTATAATTGCTAAATTACTAAAGTAATTAATTGCTAGTTAAAATCACATTATTACATTAACACAAAAATATAACATTACACTGAATTCATTTTTTCGTGTGTGCCCCCCGAAGATTTGATGTGGCCTCATTTAGCCACCCCTATGAAATTTTTCTGGTTGATACATTGTTCTTTTTTTCTTTTTTTTTTAGAAAAAAGTGCCAAAGACCCTCGTGTTGAACGTGCAACATCTGTCTGCAAGAAAGTTGTCAGCACATTCTCCTTCAGCTGGAAGAAAAAGAGGGAACTAAGTAATGCTCAAGCTGAGCTAAAGCTACCTCAACAGAAGCTCATCACTGAGTCCCCAACACGATGGGGCTCAAGGCTCAGCATGATTGAGCGAGTGCTTGACCAGGAAAAGGCGATTTCTCAGGTCCTGAAGGCAGACAAGAAGGCAAGGCATTTGGTCCCATCATGGCAAGATGTTGACGTGATGGAGTTTGTGAAAAAGGCACTGAGTCCACTAAGAGACTTTATGTGAGTGTATTTTATGTCAAGCCAGTGCTTCACATGTTGAAAGTCAACATTTTGAGCCTGAATGATGAAGACACTGAACTAACAAAAACAATGAAGACAACCATTCTGAATTACCTCACTGACAAATATCAGGACCCCACCACTGATGACCTGCTGGATATGGCTTCGCTTTTCTATCCCAGATTCAAAACACAATTCATTGCCAAAGAAAAGGTAAAGGGGATACAAACCAGAGCTGTTGCTAAGCTGTAGTCTTTGGTGACCATACACATACAGTATCCAAACTCAGATCAGCAGCCTACATCTAGTACCTCAGCCTTTACATCACAAATCCTTGATGAGGATCAGACACCACCCAAGAAAGCAAAGAAAACACTTTCCAGCTTTTTAAAAGCCTTAGGTGTTGCAAGTGCATCTGCAACCACATCAGTTTCCTCATCTGTGAAAGAGGCAATAGAAGGAGAACTGTAGGGATACTTGTCCACGCCAAATGCAGAAAGTGAGGTGGATCCGCTGGCATGGTGGAAAGTCCATTTGGCAAACTTTCCAAGAATTAGCCAGCTTGCTAGAAAGTATCTCTGCATTCCAGCCACAAGTGCTCCCTCAGAAAGGGCTTTCAGTACTGGTGGCAATATCATCACCTGCCAAAGGGCATCTCTTAAGCCGGAGAAAGTGAATCAGCTGGTCTTCCTTTCTAAGAATTTGTGACTGTGATTTGTCATACTTTGACATCTTTAGAAATGTATATGTTCCAAAGCTGCTAAGTTTACAAGACTCAGGAATGAGGTCAGGAAATATTTTTGTATCTTTATTTTATTTTTTTGGTTCTGAAACATGTTGCACAAAAATCTATGGTACTTAACAGAGTACAAAAGGTAGTTTACTGTTTGTATGTTTATTTTTCTTTTCTAAGCCAATGTTTATTTTGGGAGTTATGCTAAAGTCTGTGCACTTACATTGACAGTTATATTTTTATTTAAACTTTATTTAACTTAACTTAAAAACTAAGTCATTTACATTTTTGAAGGTGTTGCTGAGGATCTATGTCTAATAAGCTGATTTGTTAAACTTGTTAAACTAAGATTTGTTAAATTTGTTAAACAAATGTTCATTTTGATGGTACAGTAATTGTAATGCAAGTCTTGTTGAATGTTCTTTCTTTGCAGAATAGCACTTGCATTAAATCTTCACTTGATTAACATATTCTTATACATACATGCTAAGAGTATATTTTTTATTTGGGGACATTAGTTTGGTTGTATTGTACCTTTGTAATTTGCAAAATATTCTTAAAAAACCAACTTAAAAAAAAAATTGGGATAAAAATCGTGATTTCCCCAGAACAAATCAGGATATGATATTTTTTACATATCGCCCACCCCTACTAGTCGGTGCAATGGAATAGAGGTTAGCGTGTCAACATATGGTACAGTAGCACTTCAAGGTGTCTTGAGTTCCAATCCCGGCTCGAGGACATTTCCCTACCCCTCTTTCTCTCCAGCTTCGCTTCCTGTTTAAAAACTGTCCTATCTAATAAAGGCAAAAAGGCCAAAAATAAATCTTAAAAAAAAAAAAAAGTATAATGAACTGTGCTTTAACAGAGCTTATTATTTAAAATATTCAAAAAGCCTATGAGGGAACCAGTTTTAGTCTACAAGGTGACTTCATAGTTCCTCCACTTAATATAAATGAGCATTAGAGGTAGTTACATGAACATCGAAAAAATGAGACCTGTACAAAAATATTTAAGACCAAGAAAAGCAAGTTATAGATGTGATTTTTTTTTTTTTTGACTTTTTAAGACCCCACAAAAACCCTGTGATGAACTATCCACCGGCTTATGGGGCATCTAGCGCTCTGTTATAAATGTTTGTTGATGTAAACAGGACATGAAAATTGGCAAGCACATCTCACACGTAAAAGATTCAACCTTAATCTCAACAGCTCTTTCTCCACATACTTGCTCACACAAGTGAAACTCCACGTGTCTACACAATAACGAAACAAAATGTTAAAAAGTTATGATTGTAATATCATCTTAAACCGGTGACACCCAAAGATGAATGTGGCTATTCAGAATGTATGTACAGTACATGGCAGTAGAGACAGCTCACCTATAATTTGTCTGTAACCCTACCTATGTAAAGATATACTTAACTGCACAAAAAAAGTCAACTGCACTAAAAAAAAAAAATTCCAAAGCAGAGTAATGCATGTAGAGAAATACTGGATATTTTTATACTTTATGCCATCATCAGCCACTAGATGTCACCAAAGAATCCATATTTGTAGGTTTTGGTTGGTCTGAACTGACTGCAGGGATATTTTTGCTGAGAAACTGTAACATAAAAATTACCTGTAACATAAAATAAGCATAATTTTACATAAACACTCATAAAGTAAAAATTTTGCAAAATACTTTTCTTTCATAAAAACACAAAAAGAGGACTTGGCAAAAAAAAAAAAATAATAATAATGAATGAATAAATAAATAAATAAAACACTTAAGTACTCTTTAAATCCAACTCCATAATAATTTGTCCCATTGGATAAGTATGGGGAATTCTAAAACTTATTATTTAAAATTATTATTGTTAAAAATGTATAGATTTTTTTTCAAGACCAACATATGACATTTGTTAAAAAAAAAAAAAAAAAAAACATAGTTCACACGAGACCTTCATGTCCAAAAAGATCCCCAATGGAAACCTTAAGCACTACAGTATAAGGTATGTTTGAGGTTTAGTGAATCCACATTTGTTACCCAGACTGCAGTGGCGCAGTAGGTAGTGCTGTTGCCTCATAGCCAGATGGTCGCTGGTTCGAGTCTGGGGTCAGTTGGTGTTTCTGTTTGGAGTTTGCATGTTCTCCCTGCATTCGCGTGGGTTTCCATCGGGTGCTCCGGTTTCCCCCACAGTCCAAAGACATGCGGTACAGGTGAATTGGGTAGGCTAAATTGTCCATAGTGTATGAGTTTGTGTGTGATTATGTGTGAGGATGTTTCCCAGAGATGGGTTGCGGCTGAAAGAGCATCCCCTGTGTAAAAACTTGATGGATAAGTTGGCGGTTCATTCCACTGTCGCGACCCCGGATTAATAAAGGGACTAAGCAGACAAGAAAATGAATGAATGAATGTTGTTCCATGCCTTTTTATTGACATTTTTCCTCACAATTATACAAAACTGTATTTAAGAATGGATTACTTAATAATTGCTAATACCTTCAGTGTACTATTATACTTAATATCTTAAGTTTTATCTTGAGAAAAGAAATTGAACTGATATAACAAAACGTTTGACATGAAAACAAAAAAAAAACACTGATTTCTACAAAAAACATTATAACATTAAGTATTACAAATTAAGAAATGTAAATCACACCTTAAAAACCAACTTTATTATAGAAGATAATAATAAACTTGAAACTGTAAATCAATTAAATTGTTAAACCCAACAAATGCCCAACTATAAAAAACATTGTATTAATGGTGGACCCATTAATTCCTACCCAGAGAATCCACATTTATCATTCTTTCTCCTGTTATCTGCATATATATCCTCATGTACATGAAATACAGCTAAACTACAGCTAAAGCTAGGAGCTCAAAGGCAGAACCAAGTCTTGTGCTTTCATCTCAAATCACAATAAAGGTTCCTTAACATGTTTGTATGTATAGATGTCATTGTTACAGCCTCGATGTGCTTGCAGCCACAACTGTATTGTGTGTCTGTGACATGTATTTGTGTATCTGTGTGTATGTTTGTTTTAAAGCACTTTGATAAGCATCAAGTTACATTTATTGTTGATCTATACCCTGATGGCGTAAGCAAGAGTGAGAGTGTCAATGTGGCAATTGTGTGCTTGTGGCTGGTGATTCTGAACATTCCAGCTTGACTGCAGACTCCATGCTGATAGGTGAGGTAGAAGAGGAAAGGACACCTGAGCCCTTATTATCCATTGATGAAGAGGATGAAGGCAAAGACACCACAATATATTTCTGGATTGGGCGTGAGCTGCCCACAGCACCTGGATTTCCAGACTCCAGTTTGACGAGTGGCTGTAGACTTGTTGGTGTGCTGGGGACTGTACTTGTGACAGGGGATCCAGACTGAGAGGAGCTGAGAGTGATTACCTAGAAGAAGAGCTTATGTCAACAATTACAACAGAATTTACTCGTTTTCTGCAGAAACTATCGGCCAGCAGTTAAACTAGTAGAAATAAAATGTTCCATTAGCAGAAATAAAAAGTCTTATGTGGCTGCATAGATAAAGTGTTGGAGCATAGATGTAGTTTAAGTAAAGTGTCCGATGCATTTGGAGAGAATTTCGACAGGTGGTTTGTCAGACCCCACTGTTCACAGTGTGAAGCCAAAAGGCTTTGGCAATATGTATTTCTTTGTCAAATTCCTTATGAGTTTATGGCAATTTGTCAATGTTTCAAGATGTACAGATGACATTAAAATACATAAAAGCAGTCTTTAGGACCAAGAGCAGCTGCTGTGTCTGATCACAGTGCCATCTTGGATCTTGGAATTCAAGGAATTCAATACTACAGTGCTATAGTCGTGAGACATTTTTGGTGCATTAACAGCGAGTGTTTCCCAGAGATAGGCTGCGGCTGGAAGGGCATCTGCTGCGTAAAACATATGTTAAATAAGTTGGCGGTTCATTCTGCAGTGGTGACCCCAGATTAATGACTGAATTAATAAAAGTGAGTGCATTTATGAATGTATGAAACATATATGAAACCTTCTGACAAACTAATCTAGCACAAACTAGTGCTTAAATGTAAAAAATGCAGTATTTGAACCTCATAAAAAAAAAAAAAAAAAAAAAAAAAAAAAACTGGATTGTACATTTAAGCACTGGTTTCTGCTTTATTACCTTGTCGCAAGGTTTCATAATGTGCAGTGCATAGTGTGCACCATGGGTCTATATAAATTCAGTGACACAACATGCACCAATGAATTACGATAGACCCACAAAACTATGCTATCATCTCCCTCCATGATTTGGTTTAATAGGATTTTTGAAAAGCAGGTGGGGCAGGGGTTAAGAGTAATTTGTGATTTAAACTAAATTAGAATTATGGAAAGGCTCAAGGTCAAATTTCTGTAGCAATACACCACAACTTATGTTATAATTACCTTTCTTCAGTGGTGATGTCATTATGCGCACCATTTTATTGGTAAAAACTAGTTGTTGAATGGAAATAAGTTAAAGACAGCTAATGTTTTTTCTTACAACTACATTGTTGGAAACAAAAAACTGGGAACTTGACTTATGCCATGGTAAACCATAGATTTTTACTATGCATTAAGGCAGTTTCTAAATATAAAATAGGTTTCTTTGTTTTATTCCCAAGTTCTTTAAAAAAGTAAAACTATTTTTATTTTAAATAAAAATAGTACAATTAAAGGTTTTCTTTTGTATGTGGGAAAACAATCTTTGTGAAATAAAATTTTGTTATATTACATATAACACAAATTACTTTAAAACTCTTACCTGCTGTGTGGATGCAGCCCCTGCACTTGTTGCCATAACAATATACTTTGTTGCTGGGGGTGATGGCTGAGTGGGTGTTCCAGGTCGAGTAGACATGAGGGTAAGTGAACTGGGTACTTTAATTATGCTGGGTGTACGTGAAACACCTGATGTTGACAATCCACTCTGAGACATTGTCAAAGTCGGACGTGGCTAAATACAAGACGGAGAGAATTTAGGTTTGATGTGTATGATTTTAACAAGTATGACAAATATTTTATTTAAAATTTACTCACCTGTGTGATAGTAAGTGTGGTTCTGTTAACAGTTTGGGCCTGAAAGGCAGCCTGTGCACGGGCCTTCACCACATGTGAACATAGCATAGTGCCCAGATAACCATAATCTGCTTTGTATTGCTCCACCAGATCTGGGACCGGCCTAGTTTTAGCAACCACACTTGCACAATGTTTCTAAACACAGAGACCAGAAGGAATTACATTTTTTTAATGCATTTTATATATACAATCATATATATATATATACTAGTGCCGATATACATCTATATCACACTGCTACGAGTGTGATATTGCGTTTATACAACAGTTTGACGGCATAATTGTGTATATAAAAACAAAATCAAACATGGAAAGTCTCAAAAACTTTTTTTTGAGGAACTCTTTTCTTCTGCGTTGGATTGAAATCATAGGCTGACAGTTAAACAGCTGAGCAAGCATCCTTTAAACTTTGATCTGAAGTGTCTGCTTTTTGCTGGCTGCATGTGGGCGGAGTAATACACAAAGTGTAAAGAGGCTGTACTGGTGCTGATATTAAATATATCACTGCTATCAGCCAATCAGATTCGAGAACCAGACAGAACTTTTATTTATATATATAATGGCACAGCACAGCTCTTCGTCAGCTGCTGCAGAGATTAATCTATCTCTGTCTATTCTATCTAGTTACACATATCTCTATACAAAAACACTTAAAATAAAAATAAAAAACTTTTTAACCGTGGCAGCCTTCTACTATGCTGTTTCTTTAACCTGCAAGTCTTTTTTTTTAGAAAGAATAAAGATCCTACAATATTGTATGCTTCTCAAGCTCTATGAGGAATGTCATTCATGTCTGGCGCACTCACAAGATAATCGCCTGAGATATGTCATTTGGTTTTTGATTGTCAGGTTGTTGTAGGCCTAGTTATAATAATATTTATACAATATAGTTATAATGATATTATTACAAGATCAAACTAGTGTTACTTTCTCTGCTTCAGTGATGTCCAGCGGTAGAGTAACAGCTCGTGTAAAGGATGAGACGAACAAAAGTAATCAATGCATGCCCTTCTTTTACTTATTTTCGTGTTGTCAGGTTTACAGTGCAAACAGCTCCCAGGTGAAATAACTTAATGAACATAAAACAAAGCCAAATAAAACTTTCTTCCTCTGCTTTAGCTGCACAGCACAGAGCGAGCTCACATCATCCAGCATGCGAGTCAAACTACACTACCCACAATACATTTCGCTATGGACTACAACTCCCGTAAATAGCGTCAACTTTCTATTTCCCTTTTCCTGCAACACTAGTGTGCAACTTAAGCAAAACAGATACTAAAATTGTTTTACATTTGGTTTTGTAGTTCAGGCCTAAGATCCGTCTCATGCTTCCACTAGAGTGAAAGCACCACCAGCAGTCAAAAGTGACCAAAACATCAGCCAGAAAGTATAGGAACGGAGAAGTGGTCTGTGGTCACCACCTGCAGAACCACTTCTTTATTGGGGGGTGTCTAGCTAATTGCCTATGATTTCCACCTGTTTTCTATTCCATTTGCACCACAGCATGCAAAATTGATTGTTAATCACTGTTGCTTCCTAAATTGGCAGTTTGATTTCCCGGAAGTGAGATTGACTTGGAGTTCCATTGTGTTGTTGAAGTGTTCCCTTTATTTTTTTTAGCAGTGTATAAATGACCATGTAAAAAAACTTAAAAGCATAAGATAAACACCACAACAACTGCTTATCAACGATTAAGAGGCTGTTGTAAGGTACTTACCAGTAATAGACTCTGGACATGATCAGCTCCAATCTTATCAATATTGGATACCACTGGCCCATCCATCACTGCTTTAATACGGGCACCCTCTACAAACAGTCGGGGGATGATCAAAGTCTTTATCACCTACATAGTCAGAAAAAGACATCAAATTTCTCAATTTAGAAACTTAATGCTTTTAATGCTTACAGTTTTTCCACATAAGTGCCTTCAAAAGTCAGACACCATGGACAATTTAGCCTGAAATCAAATAATGTCAAATATATCACAATTTTTTTTTGGGTCCAGTTGAAAATGGGGCCCGGCCCTCCAGCGGGGAAAGAGCAAATTCCCTTTTCTCTGAATTGTCTCAGGTCTCAGGTACGCTTAGGTGTCTGTTACCAGACTTAATGGCACCCTAGGCAAGGAGGGCTGCCAGCTTCCGTGGTACTTGACGTGCCCGCTTCGGCAGAGGCACAGGCAGGCTTACCGTCCTGCCGATAGATGACATTACACATCGCATTAGACTGCTCTCTCACCACCTTGAATTTCTGGGGGAATTCACAGACGGTGTCACAGAAAAGGCCAGCCTTGGATATGAGCAGGGCCAGATTGAATCTGCGGATGTTTTTTGCTATTTCTGCGAACAATTTTGGTAAAAATCTGCAGATTTCTGTGAAATTATTTTGGGAGTATTATAACTAAAACCTTAGATGTAAAATAAAAAGTAATACCTTTTAAACTTTTATTTAATGTTTGAATTGCAAATTCAATTAGATCCACTTTATTTGGTAAACAAAGCAAGTCACTATATATCTACTAAAAGAACAATTTCATATTAGTCAATAATATTACTGTAATTAATAAAAAACTGAATAAATTTAGATTTTCACACATTTACTTAAATAAATGTAAATAAACAGAATCAACGATGGGCTAAAAATCTGCGGAATTCTGTGGAAAATCTGCGGAACTCTGCATGCGCAGATTCAGTGTGGCCCTAGATATGGGGCAGTCAACACACACACACACACGCGCGCACACGCACGCACGCAGGGGAGAAAGACAGTGTGCTTAATGACGGTGAAATGTTTGATACCGCACGTCGTATTGGAGAAAAAAAGCCTCTGCTTTCTCTGCAGAGATGCACTCAGTAGGTCAGAAAGCCATGTGTGTGTAGACAATCCTGTCACAAAATGTGGCGAAAATTCAACACGACGGTCGGCAAAAGTTTGCTTACAGTGCTCACGTGTCTACACACAGAGAGCAGCATTTACAGCCGATCTTTTAATATTGTAGTGATATCAACGTACTGTAAACCAAGTAACTTAGAAATCATTTTGACTAAGTTCTGTCTTTAAACACTGAAAGAGTACAGCTGACCATACGAACTATAACTTTGCCATCTGAATGAACAAAGAAAGGGCGCTGATTGCACACACTTTCCGAATCTGTAGACAGGATAATCAAAACATACTGGAACTGCATCTTTTTTTAAAGGAGACGAGCAGCAAATCCGGATCTCACCATTGATGAGAAATGCTCTTGAGTAAAAAATGTTCCAAACAAACGCATTTCAGCTGCGCGTCACGTCTACGGATCCACGCGTGAGTCTAGCAGCACGCTCATAGAGAGAAAATGAAACAAAACCTTCACATTATAAAAGCAACACTGGCGACCCGTATCTCCAAACAATTCTCATTCTTTTCCCACTTCTTTTGGCAACGCGACGTGTGTTGTCTCTCTACAATCTGAACACTGTTTCAGGTACAGTCTAAGAAAGCTAGGATGTATATTAATGAAGTTGCAGTGCATACATAATGGAGCGCGCTGATTGGTTTTGAACCAAGCCTCACTCATGAATGAATGCAGCACACTCAGAGACGTAATACGGGACAGCCTGGTACAGACGTCCAGTCTACATGCTGGAATACACGCTGAGATCTCATGGCTGTGACGCAGCTTCAAAAATTTGTTTCAAACCGGAAGTACGAATTTGCTCAAAATAATGCAAAAACAACCAATTTTCACTTGTTAGTGAAATATATGGGTCCTAATAGTGTTTTTAGCAGTGTGGGACACATATACGACTGTCAACAGCTCAAAAAATGTGTTTTGGTGTATCGTGACCCTTTAAGGGCGTGTCAGAATCCACTTTTGCTAATACAAGGACAGAAAAATCCGCTTTGCGCTGTGGCGCATGGTCTAAAAGGGTTGAAATTATTTTCTTAATGAGTCATAGGTGTGTTTTGAGAATAAACCAGAGTCTCATCTCCCATTCCCTTTAGAAGTCAGATGTGTCGCACCATAGCACATTTGCTATTTACATTCCGACTTTGTAAGTGGAAAAACTGAATGATTCACTAGCGAGAAAACATTTAAACAGAGCATCTGCAGCGCGAGAATGAGATGAGCCTCCTCATTATCTACTTCCACTTTCGCTCTTGTACGCACAGAAGTTCTATTCAGTTCTAATTTCCAGCAAACGGATAAATGAACAATTATAATGAAATGTGTTAAAAAAACTGAGTTATATCCAAATACACATGCTAAGTCCCATATGGTCTAAAACCTGACAGGTGGACAAATCTAAGCTTGTTTTAATAAAATAAATATAAATATGGATATGGATATAATAAATAATACTGCTATAAAATAATAACATTATACAAAAGCAAATTGTTACAGATAAACTGAAAAAGCCCCCGGAGATGAAAAAGGCATGAAAGTATGGTTTTTATATTTATGTAGGCTAGAAAACAATAAGTTTTTTAAACTTTTAATCATTATATTTATATCCTATATATATCCTTAATATTTTAATTCTTTTTCATTAGTAAAGATATTTGCGTATTGATGTACACCCTGTGTGTATTAAGCAATGTTTAAGCGAGGCGCACAACTAACATGCTTCTGCGCTGGACTTTAGACCGGCTTTGTTCTGGTCTATTGAAAAATCTACTTTAGTTTCTCAAAATAGCAACGCACCAGCAATGCGCCTCAACACGCCTTCCTTTTTAGATCAGAACACCTATGGGCGCACATATTAGTGCAAATGCATTTGCTATTTAAACAGCTTGGGGCAAAACGTCAAAACGACTCTTGCACCAAGCTGAAACTAGCAAACAACAATTGCACCACGCCTAGCACCCCATTGTGCAGGGGGTATGATAGGGCCCTAAATGTCAGCAGGACTAAAGGGCTGATGGTGGACTTCAGTAAGGAGCAGGGAGCTCAGGGTGCTTAGCAACATTTACTCCTGCACCATAGAGCATCCTGATGGCAAACATCACAACCTGGTTTGGGAACAGCACTATGAAGGACAGACTAGCCCTACAGAGAGTGGTGGGTCCAGCTGAGCACATCATCATGCTTGGCAGGTTTAATTTAATAGAAAGTCATCAATAATAATCTGCTTTGACACATTCCACACTGTAAAAAGAGCTATATAAATGACAAATTGAACTGAATAAATTGAATCAATGACTTGCATTGATCAAATAATATCCATTTTGCTACATCAGATAAAAGATTACATAAATAGGTAAACAAAAACTCATGTTTTTTGAGATGCCGCCCGCAGGTTTCCTATTTGATACCCCTGCCTTAGACACTTTAAAGGGGTGGTCTAGAATGTAATTTTAGGGCTTGGTTATGTTAATAAGATGCAAAGCAGTGTGTGCTCATGTTTCACTTTAGGGAAAAAATATTACATATGTAAACCTCTCCTGTCCTGTCTCTTTGTTGTGTTAGAGATAGCAGGGGAGATTCACTGATTACTCCAGGGCCGAATAACATTAGTTTCGGGGTGAACTCTTTTAGTTGCAGCCGGTGAATGAACGAGGACACATGTAACTTGGTCCAATCTTTAAAGAGGGAAATCACTAAAAACTGTCTTATTGCAAAAAAAAAAAAAAAAACGCTCCTCTTTTCTGTCTCTCCCTCTTCGCTTCACACACACACGCACACAGTCACGCACGCACGCACGCACGCACGCACGCACGCACGCGCACGCACGCGCACGCGCACACACACACACACACACACACACACACACACACACACACACACACACACACACACACACACACACACACACACACACACACACACACACACACAAACTGTCCTGCACATGTGACGTGCTAAACGTGCCATGTGTTGTTGATGTAAGATTGTATTCAGTTTGATCGGAATATTCATATTTATTATACAGAGCGCGCGTGTGAGCTGTCACCACGCACACACACAAACATAGATCTGACAGCCTTGAGCCTTCACTGATCAACAGGGGAGAGCCTAGGTGGACCGGTTATTAATCCAGCATACAGACCACACATTCTGTCTTTATATTCGGTTCTGTGTTTGTCATTAAGTCATCTGAGCTCAATGATCTGGTTTGTTTCAAAATCTGACCCCGAGGGCAAATCAATGCTCTCACAGCGGTTTATCACAAACTTTTCATAGATAATTTTTCCCGCGAATGACAGCAAGAACGAACACAGAATCGTTGATGCTACATGTGTTCAAAAGAATCTAAAACACCAAATTGGATGAATTTATGCTGCATTTTCTAAAATAATACATTCTGTATCTAGCTTTTTACTTGTACGGTGGCTCAAAACGGTCAAACACCTCTAAAAAAGGCTTTTTCAGACATGGCATATTTGTTCACATGTACATCACTGTAACACGTTTTATTCAAGAACATTTGAGCTGGTTTTAGTCCTTAGCTCTTTCATCTTATTTAAAATATATTTATCTTGCTTGTTGATTAAATCCCATTTTGTTATTTAACCTTTTTAATTTTATGCAACAGTCAAGTTGCATGTTAATTTGCTATGAAGAAAATGAACTAATGTATTTTTTGGATGCGGATTTATGTGAAATCATGAATATAGGTCTATATAATTACCTTGCAAATTTGAAAGCATAACTCTTTTGCTTTGAATATAGGCTATTCAGTTCAAAAGAGCTAAGTTTCAGCTTTTATAAAGTTTGCTGTATAAAGATTACTGTAGAAGCCAGAACTATTAGCCCCCTGAATTATAAGCGCCCTGTTTATTTCTTCCCCTATTTTTCCCTCAATTTAAATTAAAAAGGCAAAAAAAAGAAAATCACATTTTTTTTAACACATTTCTAAACATGATAGTTTTAATAACTAACTTCTAATAACTTATTTATTTTAACTTTGCCATAATAACAGTAAATAATATTTTACTAAATATTTTTCAAGATACTTCGATACAGGTTAAAGTGACATTTAAAGGCTTAACTAGGTTAACTAGGCAGGTTAGGGTAATTAGGCAATTTATTGTATAATGACGGTTTGTTCTGTAGACTATCGAAAAAATAAATTCAAGGGACTAATCATTTTGACCTTAAAATGGTTATAAAAAAATTAAAAACTGCTTTTGTTCTAGCCAAAATAAAAACAAATAAGAACAAAATAAAAATAAATAATTCTTTCTCCAGATTAAAAAAAACAACAACTATTAGACATACTTTGATAATTGTATTGCTCTGTTAAACATAATTTGGGAAATATTTATATTAATGCCTTTAATAAGCTTCCAAAACAAAAAAATATGGGGTTAAAATTAACAGTGAAAGAGACTTACATCATGCCCAAGTTCAGCAAGTCCAGCAATGCAGCCATAACGAGTTGTCCACTGAGTCTTTTCATCCAACAATGCCTGAAGATCACAAAATAAATGTATTTAATTACTTGCATGCAAGACCTTCTAGGCTGATTATGTGCATTTATTGTCAAACAAAACAAATAATATAAAAATAATGATTTAGTTAGTAAATTAATAATTATACACAGATGTGGCAACTGACAATGAGAACGTGAAAGAACGTAACTATGCATGACACCGGTGTACAGCAGCAGCACATTAAATTAACATTAAGTTTGCTAATAGTAGTGAAGTTTATTGTGCAAAGTTACATAAATATTTATGATTCTGTTTGTAATAGCATTAAAAAATATTGTTTGTTTGCTTGTTTTTTTTTTCTACTTCATTAGTATGACATGGTAAGTAGCCTATAGGTTTTAGTTAATAAGACAATTTTTTTGATATGAGTGACATTTGAAGCTAACAGTCAAACAAGACACATTTTTGATACATGTGTCCTATACAAGTAACATTTACAAAAGTACAGACAGTCTGTGCAAATGTGTTGACAAAGCAGCAGAAAATTGTCGGCATTCATATTTTAGTGAGTTATTTTTTATAGCAGCAAATTTTCTATTATTTCATTTAGGCCCAATTCCAATTTTATTTGTGCACCCCTACCCCTTCACCCTTGGCCCTTACAACCGAGGGTTAAGGGGAAGGGCTTCAAAATGTATTCCTAATAACCGGGACAGCACTACAGTACCTGCACATGTCCTCGCGATTTCTTGCTTCACATAAGATCAGGAGATCGCGACTGCTGATGAGATTGCAGTTGTGTTATTTTTTGGTATTTATCTTTAGGAAATCACTAAAGGCTTATATTATGTTATCATAATGTGGCAATAAGATCGTTATACTGTGCATTTAACACAGTGGCCATACTCATCAATAAAAACACAAAAAAAACAACATTAACATTATAGCAGACACTGTAAAAAAGCTCATTGACAGCCACTAGACCTTTCTGACAGGGTATTCGAGAGTCATCGAGTGTCAGAAAGTTGTGGGACTGTTGTACAGGAGTTATGCTTAGGGATTATAGATCGAAAAATTAGCTGGGTTTTTTTTTGCATGACGGTAAGACATGAACGCAGTTTTGAATTATTAAAACATGTTTGTTTGTTATAAAAATTCGTAATAATGACAAAAAAAAAAAACTAATTTGTGGATCTTACTTCCGGGTGCAGCTGTTGCTGGGGTATTCTGGGAATTTTTTCCTACCCTTTTGTTTTAAGTGTGGTCCTGAAAAGTCTTTGTTTGAAGGGGTGTATACCACTTGCCCTCAGCCCTGCGCCTTCAAGCTAAAGAGAATTGGGACACTACTACTCCTTCACGGGCACATGAAAAACGAGGGGTAGGGGTAAGGAAGGGCTAAGGGTTAGAATTGGGATTGGGCCTTAGTTCTTATTAGTTCACACTTCTGTATTATATTATTCTTCTTCTTATTGTTGTTGTTATTGACTGAGCCTGCCAAAAGTCGCATGTAATTGGCCAGAGCTTGGCAGTCCTGCAGCTATTATGGTTCTGACTTTGCATCTATTGTGTGATCCAGGCATGGCCCTCTGGTAATTCTGGCACACGTTGCTTCATTATGGCTATAAAGCTTTGGGCTGATCCATGTTCGCTGTAACTCGCCCGGTGTTTTGGCTGTAAATATCTTTATTGCAATTGCATTAATTTAGCATTAAGTCAGAAAAGCAGTATCATGTTTTTCCCTATTTATTTTGCTAAAACACGCTTCTGCCTGTATGACTATGGGCCCTATCATACACCCGGCGCAAGGCGCGGCGCAATACTTGTTTGCTAGTTTTAGCTTGGCGCAAGAGTCGCTTTGAGGCGTTGCGCCGCGCTCTTTAAATAGCAAATGCATTTGCGCTCATATGTGTGGCCATAGGCGTTCTGGTCTAAAAAGGAAGGCGTTCTGAGGCGCACAGCTGGCGCGTTGTTATTTTGAGAAACTATAATAGATTTTTCATTAGACCAAAACAAACCCGGTCTAAACTATTTGCTTTTGTATAATGTTATTATTATTAGCAGTATTATTTATTATATCCATATTTATATTTGTTTTATTAAAAACAAGCTAAGATTTGCCCACCTGCAGGTTTTAGACCGTATGGGGCGCAGCATGTGTTTTAGGACATAACCTATAGTCTACAGGTGTTCAGGGAAAGGCTCTACAATGGCTTAAGTCATACTTAACTTACCATTACCAGTTTGTGAATATTAATGTACAACCTTTACAAGTCCGCCTAGTAAAGTATGGGGTGCCTCAAGGATCAGTTTTAAGCTCCCTGCTGTTTACAATTTACATATAAAAGATCTGGGTGTCATATTAGACAGCAATTTAACATTTGAAAATCATATATCCCATGTCACAAAAACTGCCTTCTTTCATCTGAGATATATCGCTAAATCACAAAATATGCTATCCATCTCAGATTCAGAAAAGCTAGTCCATGCTTTTATAACTTCTAGGCTGGACTACTGTACCGCACTGTTTGCTGGTTGCCCAGCATCCTCTATTAACAAACTTCAATTAGTACAAAATGCAGCTGCCAGAGTTCTTATCAGGTCTAAAAAATATGATCATATCACCCCAATTTTTTCCTCCTTACACTGGCTGCCTGTTAAATTTCGTATTTAATTTAAAATATTGCTTCTTACCTATAAAGCTTTAAATAATCTAGCTCCTGTTTATCTAACCAACCTTCTCTCTCACTACAATCTCGCAAACCTGCATTTGACAGGGACTATAAATATACAATTGATGCTTGCTGTCACACAACATTACTTAGGAAAACATTCTACCTTACAACATTAATAGATCATTTCCTGTCAAGATAAGGCTTGTTATAAATGGAATTAATTGTACTAATAAATTGTAAATCTTGAATACCACTATTGTCCTTCATTGCAGGAAACATAATCAACTTCAGCAAAGGCTGACATTTCTGTGTCAGTCTTATCACTTCTATAAAAACATCCCCTGAACTCACCATGAGTGGTACAGAGAAAATGAAATCACTGAGGTAAAATCATGATTTGTATTAAAAGTGTTTATTTTGTAGATCATTTATTTTATGCTTGTATGTTTTAATAAAAGCTGTAATTCTCTTTTCAAAACTCTGATAAGGAGCCAGTGTTAACTGTAAGTATCCGATAGCATAGTGTTTTTTTTTTGTAATGTTAAATTATTTTTTTATATAATTAAATTGTTTATAAGGACTACTATTGACTGTAAATTGAAAATGTTAGTTAGTTGGTTGAGCACATCAAATCTTGGTAAATCTGTGTGATCTGATTGAAAGCAACAAACATATGTCCTCTCATGTCTCCATAGTTTCATGGGGCCCTCTGTAAACAACCCATTCTTATGCGCTGTGGAATATCATTCCACATGGTGCAGGCATGTAGACTTTCTTTTATGCTAGAATGAGAGCACATTTCCTACTGATACCTTGGCCTTTTTTAGTAGCAACATGTCATTTGAAGGTTATATTTTAAGCACATTTTTACATCACAATTGTGGCCATGCACATACAGTGTCTGCTACCTTAGTAAAGGTTTTGGTGATACGCGACTGGATGTTGTTGGTTGTGGTGCTGAATGTTTTGCAGCTCTGAGCCATTAACCGGGCAGCAAAGTCTCGCAGAGCCCAGTGATTGTCTACATCAGGCCTCAAACACAGTTGCTTACTCACAATACATGTCACCACCGCGGGGATCAACTCATGGAGCTGGAAAAAAGCAAAAAATAAAGAATTTTTATTACTTTTCCAAGGAACTCCAAACATGAAGCATGTTTACAGTTTACAAATTCTTTAAGGTATATTAGCAGCAAGTCATGTGTCTTCTAAGTGTAGAAAACAACTTGAAATTTACTGTAAGAAAAACTAAATTACCCTAAGTTAACAGGCAAAAACAAAATGAAATTATAATAATGGAATAGTATGCATATAACAACTCACATATTTCTCCAAATATAGAGTTGGATTGTCCATTAGAGCCTTCACCATCCTCATCAAATATATCAGCAAAGCCAAGTTATTCTGAACAACATTTACACGCACCTGGAAGAGAGAAAAAACAACTTTGTCACACCACCATATTAAAAATGCAGACCCAATTTTAAGGGGTAACTAATAACATTTAAACATAAGAGTACATTAGGTTCTAGAAGTGTGAACCTACACTGGTCTCATAGTTCGGTTCAGTTATGAATATTATTCCATCAATTCAGTTAAATTCGATATCTCGGTGCTTTCCATACACAATTTTATGATTAACTTCACAGCACAACAATTCTTGTATTCAATTATATATTATATATTAAAAGAAATATTGTTTAGATCTATAGCCTAGAGCCTATAAAAAGGTCAATATTGCCTTGCACACACACACACACAAACACACACAAACACACACACACACACACACACACACACACACACACACACACACACACACACACACACACACACACATAGACTATACAATAATTTTGTTTTTTACATATAGTATTGCATTAATTTGCAAAGACGTTTTAACAAACCCGCGTTTTTTAATGACGGATGTGGATGTCACAAAATACTTTTTAAACAAATGTTTATTATTAGGGGTGTAACGATACACTCAGCTCACGATACAATGTGTATCACGATATAATGTTCACGATTCGATATGTATCACCATATTTGGAATAAAAATCAAAAATGAAACTGAAATGCAAATTTTATTTAAAAATATTTTTTAAATTACCAAGTGAACTATTTTTTTATGCATTTCTTTTGTTTCAACTTCTTTCATGTAAACTGAACATTCTTTAAGAAAATAAATTAAATAGGCCTTTCTCTGGAAAATAAAACAATTTTAAATGTATAAATAATTTTATGGATGAGTGTCTTCATGTTGGGCATGATAAGTGACAGACGGGCCATCTTTTCATCAGACAGGAAAGTCTTGGCCCTTTTCAGCGGTTTAAACAGGTTTACTATTTCTTTGGCGTCGCTGATGTCGGCGCTATCAAGTGTATCATGTTGACATGCATTATTGTCTACCTCTGTACTCAAAAGAATGCTTGTCGTAATCATAACTCTAAAAAGCGATATAATTATTTAAATGATGTGCACACTTTTGTTTTCATTTTCACTGCTAAGTGCTGTTCATACGTCCCAAACGGCTCCTAAACGATCACTTTGTGCCACAAACTAAATGTTCTTTACAACTTTATTACCTGTTACTCACAACCTTTGCAGGTTATGTTCACTGAAGTAGTAGTAGTTCATCAAGTAGTCCGCCCTCTGTAGTAACAGCTTAGTCAGCTCACATCATGTGTGATTTTGAGGCCGCGAACACATTATTATATGAAGACAGAATGATATTTTTGGCTGAATTGTACCTTATAAATACAGTATTTGACTCTTTCAAAACCATTAGGAGGTATCCATGTTGCTGAGCAAGGTATGTAAATCACTGTGAAGACTTTAAAACTTCGGCTATGTTTGACCCAGTATGCATGTCAAAAAGCAGACAAGTCTATAGACTGTAAAACCGAAATGTTGCCAGACGTCCGATTTTGAGAGGATGGGCCATCCTCTATTTCAACCCCACTCATCTTGGTCAGCTAACAATACTGCTGCTGCTAGATCAAGCAATCTGAACTCATGTGCGACAGCAGGTGGAACGTAGTTCACGTGCAAACAGCTCAACTAATAAGAGAAAATGGACATCATATCGTAATAAAATCGTCATAACGCCACGCTGCATATTGTGACATTTTTGCATCGCGATAAATTGTTACACCCCTAATTATTGTTATTATTAATATTGTTATTTAACATGAACAACACTTTGAAAAATTGAAATGTATTTATTACACCGCCTTATTGGAATAAACTGTATCAATTATAGTGCTTCCCACAGGTTTGAAATATACTTGCGGTGGTAGCCGGATTGAAACACACCATTTACCCACATCACATAAATAGTTAACTATATACGACAAACAAAACATAATTTCATTTTTAATAATAACTGTATTTATTATTACACTGTTCATTTCAATGTGGTAAAATAAAAGACTGCTATAATATATATTTATACTGAACTAAAAGAAATACTGTTATGCTTTAAAAACATATATTTTTTTAAAAAAGCGACGCAAATGTGTTGATTATTCAATACTAATTGTGTGCATATATTTTGCAGCCAGTTTAGATGTCATTTCTTCCTCTCTGAGTGTTTAGTAAAGTTTTTCTGAGTCATTTAAAATAATGAATACTATTTACTTTTTCTTTCGGTATCCTGGCTGTGCATGCGCTGTCAGCTGAATACAGGCCTAAATTAAATCTAAAAATCAACTAGCCTGGTGATATTTGGGGCCCTATCATACACTCGGAGCAATGTGGCGCAAGGCGCGGCGCAATAGTCTTTTTCTGGTTTCAGCTTGGCGCAAGAGTCGTTTTGAGGCGTTGCACTACGCTGTTTAAAGAGCAAATGCATTTGCCCTCATATGTGTGCCCATAGGTGTTCTGGTCTGAAAAAGGAAGGTGTTCTGAGGCGCATTGCTGGCGCGTTGCTATTTTGAGAAACTATAATAGATTTTTTCAATAGACCAAAACAAACCCGGTCTAAAGTCAAGCGCAGAGTTGCGCCTCACACACTGCTTAACACAAGATGAAATACATATGAAAAAAAAAAATATTAAGCATATATATAGGATATAATAAGAATATATATAGGATATAAATAAAGGATTAAAATATTACAAAACATATTATTTTCTGAAGCACTCTGAAGCTGATAACTTTTATGAATTTACGAAATTAACAGATTGTATAGCTGATATTAAAAATTGGATGACTAATAACTTCTTAATACTAAATTCACATAAAACTGATGTATTGCACCCAAAAACCTCACACGGAAAAAACCTAGTACATGGTCCAACCCTTCTCAATTCAGTCCTCATTTTCAGTCAAAAATTTGGGGGTCATGTTTATTAGATTTTTGATAGTTGTTTAAAGGCCAGAGTTCAAGCATCTGTAAAACTGCATTTTTACACCTTAAAAATGTTGCCAAACTTTAACATATGCCATCAATGTCTAATGCAGAAAAGCTTATTCAAGCTTTCATGACTTCTCAGTTAGACTATTGTAATGCGTTACTAGGCGGTTGCCGTGTTGGCCTAATAAAAACACTGGGAAAACTTCCCAAAATACACTATTTGAACGGCATCTACGCTTATGTTAGTCCGTTTTTATCATTCCCAAGGTTTCCATAATCCTGGACCAGGCCATATCCGGAGCAGATGCTGTGGTGGTTATGAAGGAGAGGAGAGCATGAGACTGATTCCTGAAAGACCCCAATGACAGGCAAGTCTCCGCCTAACTGAGCCTAATTTCTCTGGATTTTTTTTTCATCCACTTTCATCAGTTGGTGAAGTTTGTTTCTTACCACTGTTGCCATTGGCTAGCATGGTTTAGGACTCGTGGAGCTGCACATCGATGGAGTTGCTCAATTGGTGAAGTTTGTTCCTCGCCACTGTTGACACTGGCTTGCATGGTTTGGGACTCGTGGAACTGTGCATCGATGGATTTGCTCTTCAGTGTTTAGACTTTCAGCAGTGAAAATTCTTGAAATCTGGATTGACACAGTTTCAATTTAACGTAACCTTTATCAGTGTTTCCCATGTCATTATATAAAGGGGGTGCCCTGCCCTCCCAACGGCTTTTCTCGCCTACTTGAAGTCAAGCTAACTATATATAGCGCCAGATCACAACTTCTTTAAGTAAACAAGCTAATATGCAGGGCTTAATTTAATTCTTAAACCTCTGAAATCTGATCCTGCACCTCATTTTAGCGATCCCCCTCATCAACCCCCTTCGACCCCGTCTGCTGTTCACTTTCGATTTTTTCCGCGATTCACCAACCCTCTTTACTGTACCACACCCATTGTATTCCCAGTGTTTTGCGCTGCTGTGACGCAAGCGGAGAGTTTGCCCCTATCTAGTGTCTCATCCTACACTTACTGACCTCTTCCGGAAGCTACGCAAATCTCTCGCAAATTTATACAGGTTCTGTGATCCCCAAGAATGAGTTAAGATACACAAAAATAATGACGACAGGAAAACAGATTGCAAGGGGAGCAGTGATGGTCTAAGCATTATATTTGTTAGGTTAAATGAATAGAGCAGTAAAGATATCACAAGTGCAAATCCCTCTCTCTCTCTCCTTCTCTCTCATTGATTGAGCTGCTGTCAATAGTTGAAGACAAACAAAATATTTTAATGGTCCTGCATGTATTTAGGCCTTTTTACATATAACAACTGAAAGCTGTGTTTTGAACATATTGCAAATTCACTAAAAGCTGGCTGGATTTATTAGTTAGATAAAACTTAATATTTTACATGAATATTTAATTATATATGGCCACAGCCATATCACCCTGCAGCCCAAGAACGGTTCACTGAAGCTAAGCAGGGCTGAGCCTAGTCAGTACCTGGATGGGAGACCACTAGGGAACACTAGGTTGCTGTTGGAAGTGGTGTTAGTGAGGCCAGAAGGGGGGCGCTCAACCTGTGGTCTGTGTGAGTCCTAATGCCCCAGTAAAAGTGAAGGGGACACTACACTGTCAGTGGGCGCCGTCTTTCGGATGAGACGTTAAACCGAGGTCCTGACTCTCTGTGGTCGTTAAAAATCCCATGGCACTTCTCGTGAAAGAGCAGGGGTGTAACCCCGGTGTCCTGGCCAAAGTCCCTCTATCGGCCCTTACGATCATGGCCTCCCAAACATCCCCATCCACCGAATTTGCTCTATCACTGTCTCTCCACTCCACCAATAGCTGGAGTGTCATTGCTACAAACAGTAGTTTATGGGCCTATGTCCTTTTAGTAAAGAAGTGTTAGATTTATAGGTGTTTAATTTAACTTCCTATACATCAAATGTGAACTCCAAACTTCTACTTGATTGAGTCATGTTGAATTCATCTTTCATCATTTGCAATGTTTATAATGGCTTTGTAATTTTTCAGAATTTTTATAACTGTGTTTTATTATTTTCTATGGCGATT